TTCTTTCCCGCACGGCAGTTTTTCCAATTTATTCACCCCCTAAATTAAATAGCGTGAATCTATGTAGTAATATATTAGTATAGATAGATATACATCTAAAACTTTAACAAATACTCGCAATACAGACAGTTACAACTGTACACTTTACTATAGTCCGCGACATGACGTAGAAGGCACCGTGGAAACGCGCTTTTACGATAATGCACATTATTACATCAAACTGTGTTCCACTTTCACGTTGATCCCAACCTTGACTTGCTCGAAGGCTTATCGCGACCTTCACTTATGTATAAACTTGTTTAACATAATAATATGTAAAAAAAAACAAGTGACCGTAACATTTACATCATATTTTTTTTTTAAATTTTAAGCTAACGCTTGACCACGATCCCACCGACTGAGAGTGAAGATGTGGTCGAAAAATGATACGCGCTACCCTAATAAATACTCATTCACTCTTTATCTATACTATCTATACTGTTTTTGAATAATTCTTTTTTTTAATAAAAAGCCCTACACACCTATGTCATGCTTTAGGCTATATATTTTCACGCCATTAAACTTAGATAGTAAATATTTTGATAAAAATCCTAATGTGGGAAAGAGACCATACGATTCGAACTGCCAACATCATAAAGCAAGATTGCCATAGTAAGGTCATTGGTATAATATATTGACGTTTGCTATTGATAATTTGACAAATGTAAACAATAAAATAAAATTTTCATAATTTCATGCGGATGAAGCCGCACGGGAACAGCTAGTTATATTAATAATTCATAATGGTTTACGGATCATGCTGACATTTCTAAAGATTTAGAACATTATAGATCAAAGTGTTTTTACCCGTGTTTCAGCAAATGAAACCGACTATTATTATGCGTATGGAAAGGTGCGGAGAGTCACGAAAAACCGATCATTATTAAATGAATTTTCCCTTCTTTATACATTCTGCTTCCCTAGCAGATTTATAGTCGTCAAGGTGTAAACGATTAATTAATCTCATTAAGAACGCGTCGCGAACACTCAAATGCCTACTTTACTTTCTACGAATCGATTATTTCGCAACATATGTTGGAGGTCAATGCACCGAAGGTCCCTTTTACTAATTGCGTATCGGATTTTACTTTAAATGAACAAGGGCATTGACCTATATCGATATTTCAGATATTTTTCACTGGAGAATAAGTACGTGATGTTTTATACCAAATTATAATATTAACGACTGTTTTAACATACTATTAGATGAAAATGAAATGTTTTTAAAATAGAATTATTATATGTACCTCAGACAACACAATTTATATAAACATTTTTTTTTAAATCTTTGTTAGGTAAAGGTTTTAACTTTGGAAAGACATGTCAATCCCATTGTGCTACTCTTAGACTTTAATAAACGAGCTGGCATAAACATAAACAAAACTAAACACAGATGTATTGAAAATAAATAAAATAAAAAAATAGTTGTTTTAAACAACCTAAGACTCCAGTACTTCTAGTTACAAAACCAGCTAGGAATCAAGGACGCAAGCAGCCCAAGGTTTATCGAACCTTTCCTGGCATACCAACTAGTTCCAGTATTAAGTATTTATGTTTATATTTATTATTTAAATTCAAAGGTATAGATGAACTACTAAAATATCATTACAAGATACCTATCATTCTATTTTCTCGTATACTTTTTTTAATTAAATGCCTTTCTGTGTAATAACAGACAGCGTCGTACACGAGTTTTATGTTGATTAGCCCTTTTTATCCATTGTCCTAAGCGAAAAAAACAAAACGATGAACCAATAAAAAAAGAAACCAAGAAAAGAA